TGGCTTCCTAGTTAAGGATTGAATCTCGAGGAAGAAACTTTTTCAAGCCCCTACACATAATGGTTTCTATCCTCTTTAAGGTCTTCTTCACCGATTTCCCTTCCCTGCGCATGTTGCTACAAAGGCTTCCTATAACACTTGGCATCAAAGATTGGGTCATCCCTCCTCCAAAATCCTCAATAAAGTGATTACTAATTAACTTTTGCCTTTATCTGATGTTGTTCATGTCTCATTTTTCTGTTCTAATTATGCCTTGAGGAAGTGTACTAAACTTCCATTTACTGCTTCTTCAAGTGTTGCTTATACACCACTAGCCTTAGTGCACTCGGATGTATGCGGACCAGCCCTTGTTACTTCTTTCATGGTTATATGTATTATGTACACTTTCTTGCTGACTGTACGAAATTATGTTGGTTTTATCCAATAAAGACAAAATCTGTGATTTTTCAAACATTTCTACATTTCAAGTCCTATGTTGAAAAGTTGTTATCTCTTTCTGTTAAGGCCCTACGATCAAATTCAGGGGGTGAGTTTCTTAGTACTGCTTTTGTGACCTACCTCAAGGATAATGGCATTGATCATCAACTTAGTTGTCCTCACACTCCCCAACAAAATGGGTGTGCTGAGAGAAAACACAGACATTTGGTTGAAACTGCTGGCACTTTACTGGCTACTTCTAAGGTTCCTCATTAATTTTGGGTTGGAGCGTTTACAACTGCTATCTACCTTATCAATCAAATTCCTATTTCTTCCAAAACTATCTCCCCTTTTGAACTTTTACTCAAAAGAAAATCATATTATTCTCAACTTAGGGTGTTTGGTTGTGTTTGCTATCCTTGGCTCAAGCCTTATAACTCATCCAAACTCGATCCCAAGAGCACAAAGTGTGCGTTTCTAGGTTATAGTCCTCATCATAAAGGTTATAGATGCCTTGATCTTCAAAACACTGGTCATGTTTACATTTCTAGGCATGTTCTTTTTCATGAAATAGATTTTCCATTTCATACTCTGCCTTTAGTCTCCTCTCCTTTGCCTACTTCCTCTTCTCCTTCACCAAGCTCTCTCACTTATTCTGTCCCATTCTCTCCCCTCTCTACTTCACTTCCTCCATAATCTGCCACTACATAATTTGTCTCTGCTGCTGCTGCTTTTATTCCTGTGGTTCCCCCTCTCCCACTAGTTCAACCCACTCACCCAATACAGACTCGATCTAAAAGTGGAATATACAAACCTAAGGCCTACACTGCCACTAAACATCCTCTGCCAAATTCAATTAGTCCTACAGATTTAGACTTTGTTCCCACGACTTATCTTCAAGCCTCATTGGAGACAAGCCATGCAAGAAGAGTTTAATGCTCTCCAACTTATTGGTACTTGGAGTTTAACGCCCTCTTGTCCTTAACAGAATCTTTTAGGCTGCAAGTGGGTTTTTCGAATCAAACGAAAACCCGATGGTTCTGTGGATAGATATAAGGATCGCCTTGTTGCAAAAGGTTATCATCAACAAGAGGGTGTGGATTTTGGTGAAACATTCAGCCATGTGGCCAAACTAGTCACCATTAGACTTTTGCTTACCCTGGTAGTTCATCATAACTGGTTTATTAATCAATTGGATGTAAGTAATGCTTTTCTCCATGGTTTTCTTAAGGAAGTAGTCTATATGGAGCAACCCCCAAGCTTTGTGGATTCTTCTAAACCTATTCATGTCTGTCAGCTCCATCGTTCTCTTTATTGTCTAAAGCAAGCTTCACGAGCTTGGTATGAAAAACTGCATTAAGCACTTCTTTCTCTTGGTTTTAGTGCTTCACAGTCTGATATGTAATAACTCAAACCTAAAATTAATATTTAATTATTAATTTATTGGAAGAAAAGACTAAAATGCCTTTAGAATTTTTATTAGGTCAAAGGTTGACTTTTGACCAAGAAGGAATTTGGGGATTTCAGTTGCACCGTTGTGTAGAGCGCGACGAAACGAGTCTGTAAACACGTAGTGAACTCAAATCGGAGTTGTAACGAAGAAGTTACGATCAAAAGAAGTTCAGTGGCATAACCGTAAATAATTCAAACTTTAGTTTTTAAAACCCAGTTTTCTTCCTCCTCCTCCAGTTCGACCAGCCGACTTTAGGAGAGGGTTTCTCTCAGCTCCGACCACCAAATTGAGCAAGACCAATGCCAAACGAACCACCTCACTCCCCTCTTTCAATCTTAATCCATCCCAGCCGTGATCTGCCTGTGTGGTCGCCGGAAACCGCCACGAAATAGGGCAGTTTGGACAGTTTTTTATGGAATTTCACGGAGCTCGTTTGGACACCTCCGGCCACCAAATTGCGAGTGAGGTATGATTTTCTAGCTATTTTCCATGCTCTAGCTACTGGTTGGGTAGGATTTCAGAGATTTCAAGCGTAGATCGTTCAATTTTTTTAAGTTATGTTTAAGCAGACTTTCGGGTCACTTTTCCGGCCACTTCCGGCCAGTTTTTGGGGTAGGTCCAAGAACAAAAGTGGTTCCAAATAGGGTGTTTTACCTAGGATAGGAGTCTTGAGCCGAGATGTTGAGTTTTTCCAGCGAGGCGTTATCGCTTTAGGCACCACGCACTGCCAGCGCGTGTGGCGGCGCGTGGGCAGCAGGGTGGGGACCACAGTCAGTCCTAGAATGATCTCCTAGTCCTCACAAGCATGTAGGATTTCCCGGATCTTAATTTGGATATCGTTTGAACCCCGAACGGATCTCGCCTACTGTGCGATTTTCGGGTTCAATACGTTTGAACCGTTGGATCGTAATTAATTCCAAGTATGTTAATCTAGAATTTCCCAGGATTGTATAGTATTTGACGGATCGTAAAACGGAGTCCCGAATACTCCAGAATGGTCAGCCCTAGAGCAGTTATACTGTAAACAGTTCAGTTACATGTCAGGAACAGAGGAAAGAACTACGTGTGGCTTGATCCCTCAGTAAGGGTACGTAGGCAGCCTACAGTTATCAAGCGCAGTCACGAGTTAGGGGCTCAGGGTTTATGTTACTGTTTTCAGTGGATTTTTGTCATTTACGACCCATAGTTACCAGGTGTCAGTTTTAAACAGGATTCGGCCTGGATTTCAAAGTGAAATTTGGGTCGGGTCGTTTCATGATACCTCTCTTTTTATCAAACGTGTTCGTTCTTTGGTTATTGTTTTAGTATATGTGGATGATATTATCATCACAGGTCCTTCAACTTTGGACTGTACCTTTGTTATTACTCAGTTGGGTGCCCTATTTCCAGTCAAGGATCTTGGTCATCTTCATTACTTCCTTGGTCTTGAGGTTCAGAGATCATCCATTGGTTTATTTCTATCTCAAGCCAAGTATGCCACCGACCTTCTCACCAAGGTGCAAATGACTGGTGCTAAACCTTGTGCCACTCCTGTTGGTTCTGTAAAATTAGATCACAGTGGTGATCTCTTGCCTAATCCTACTGAATATCGATCTATTGTGGGGGCTCTCCAGTATCTTACTTGGACTAGGCCTGATCTCTCATATGCAGTCAATCAACCATGTGTGTCAGTTTATGCATACTCCAAGAGACCCTCATCTACAAGGAGTAAAAAGAATTCTGAGATACCTTAAAGGCACAATCAGCCATGGTCTTTTTATTCAAAAGCAAGCTGCTAATGTTCTATCTCTACAAGCCTACTCTGATGCAAATTGGGCAGGTTGACCTTATGATCGACGATCTACTGGAGATTATTGCATCTTTCTAGGATCTACTCTCATAAGTTGGAGTGCAAAGAAGCAATCATCTATGGCAAGATCTTCAACAGAAGCTGAGTACAGATCACTCACTTTAACAGCTACTGAGCTTTCTTGGCTTGCAAAGTTATTTGCATATATTGGTTACAAACTTCCCTCTCTTCCAGTCTTATGGTGTGATAATATATCTGCCATAAAACTATTAAATAATCCTGTGTTTCATTCTAGAACTAAACATTTTGAGCTAGATTTCCACTACATTAGAGAACATGTTCTCAATCAAAAGTTGACTATGAAGTATGTTTGTAGTCAAGAACAAATTGCTGACATTCACACCAAGTTTTGGAGCAAGCAACATTTCCTCTTTCTCAAGTCCAAGCTTTCACTTCAGTCCCCTCCATTCAACTTGAGGGGGTGTAAAGAGGCCTCTTTACAAGGAGTCAAAGTTAGTTAGAATATTAATATTGTTGTTAAGTCTTTGTTTAGACAGCTGTAGTTTTGATAAGATCTGTTAGAGCACCACTCTTGTACAGTAAAAAAAAAAGTTTTTAGTCTTTGTATAAATACTCTGATGTAATTTAATTATAATTAATGAGAACCTATATTTCTCTATAAAGAGTAGTGAAAAAGGATATTGATTTGCATACTAGTGGTCTCAAGCTCGAACCGCCATTGCACTGTGGTGTGCGTATGTGAGAAACCCCCTTCTACTGCAGCTTAGACTATCGTTTGTACTATCCAAAAAAAAGAAAAAAAAAAGAAAAAAAAAAAAGAAGAGAAATGGCCATTCTCATGGATGGGCTTATTTGCACAGTTCCGATGCCCTAAAAGGTATTGCCCAAATGAAAAGTTCCAGGCCCAATTGTGAAGGCTATAGCCCAATAGCTAACACCAACCAACATGAAAGTTGACAACTTCTGCAAATGGCCATTGTCGCTAATGAACACGTTCCGAGCTGTGAAATTCTTGCACCGCTGAAACCGCAAAGCATCCATCTACCCACCGAAAACCAAAAAGAGCCCAAACCTCCACCAACCAAACTCTCAAACCAGGGGCTCTCAGAAAAGAAAACGATGGAACAAATTTAATTTAATTTAATTTAACAATAGGAAACAAGAGAGCCCAGCTGCTAAGATTAGTCATAGACTCATAGCCAGCCAACAAAATTAGAAAGAAATATAATTTAGTTACAGATAGAGATAGAGAGATACATTGTACATACGCACATAGACACAGACAAAGACACACAGCAGAGAGAGAGAGACAGAGACAGAGACAGCTTCGATTCCTTTCTTCTTTTTCAGATTTCCAGACACGGTTTTCATATTCCCAAATTCTTTCATTCTCATCCTCAATTTCCCAACCTCACCCCACCATTTATTTTATTCATTTTCTTCCTTTATTAAAAAAAAAGGGGAAAAAGAAGTCGTCCAAATCTGTGTATCTTTTGCTTTACTATATATATATATATATACATATATTCTGCGAGGTTTTGGTCCACAAGGACTCAAAACTCTGTGATTTACATCTAAAATGGCGACGTCGGCTCAGCTTCGGCTCATGTCCGATCTCAGAACCATAACAAGCGAGCCTCCTGAGGTAAATTCCTTTCGTATCATTTTTCAAGGAGGCTTCAAATTAAGCTCAAATTCCTATTAAGCTCAAATTCCTATCAAATTCAATCTGAATTTAGTGAATTTCATTTGGGTTGTTTTTGTTGCAGGGTTGCAGCGCCAGCCCTCTGTCCGATGATAACCTGATGGTGTGGAGCGCCACCATATTTGGGCCCGAGGAGAGCCCCTGGGAAGGTAGTAGATAGATCTGTTCAATTTTTTTATTATTATTATTATTATTTGGAAATTTGAGTTTTGATGTGCAAATGGAAAATTCAGGTGGTGCTTTCAGTTTGAGGTTAACATTTGGTGAACGTTACCCCGAGAAGCCGCCTCGGGTTCGATTTACCTCTGAAATGTTCCATCCAAATGGTAAGTCTGATAAATCTTGTATCTATCTACTTGCAATGAATTCCCTTCTATATCTATGTTTTCATTTAAGATTCCATTATATAAGCATACCTCGCTGTGCAATTCAAAATTAGCAACTACAGAACCCGAAAGCTTAAACTTTAAGCCTTGCAACTTAACTTGTAAGTCTGCTACAATCTTCTCTTGTAGATAGGGATTAATCAATCTGGTCTTTACCTGTGTAGTTACAGATCAAGTCTGGTACAATTAAGGGTGTAAGTGTCTATTAATTGATTCACATCAATACCATCCATGAAAGTACCCGAATGTTCAATTTCATTGGATCTCAAAAACTAAAACTTTTAGAGAACGAATCAACAATGTATATCAAGCTAACAACAATGAGAAGCCTAAATTGAATTGATTTGGAATTATTAGAGGTTTTTGGTCCTCTTTCAGAAATAAGCTATGCTGCATGACATTTCAAGTCTCTAGTTTGAAGTTTTACATGCCATCAAAGAGGCTATTTACGCACTTGTTTGCACTGCTGCAAACAAATATACAATGCAAACTTATTGTAGTAGTCCGAGGAGTGGTCTATCTTCAGTAGTCTAAAGACCATGGGTTTTCCCCTCTTGATATCCTATGAAGGTGTATAGCTGGTCCACTGTTATTCAACCACCATTAACAATTTAGATCTAGATTGGATATACAGTTTCCTGTATGCTTCTAAACTTTCAAGAACTTGGCATAATGATGTTGAGGTTTGACAATAGGCCTCTTCTTGTTTGTATACTGATTAGAAGTTTATTCCTTGAATGGGATCAGAAGTTGAATTATGGGTATTGTGTATGATGATCCTATCATCTTTTGTTCTTCAATAAATCATCGGAGTTGCTTAAAAATAGTTGGGGTATATTGGTTTCATGTACGTCCAACAAAGACGGTTTCTTAAATTAGTAGTATAGATGAGCACTGCTTGCAGTTTATTGACATATCTACATTTCTACATTTGTACGTTTCTTTTTTCTTTCAAGAGAAAAAGAAACTTCACTGATTACTTATGTGATTTATGCAGTTTATCATGATGGTTCACTGTGCATGGATATAATTCAGGATGCTTGGTCACCCTGCCACAATGTATCTACGATTTTGACATCTATTCAAGTAATTTTCAAATCACACAACTCATTTACTTATCTCCCACAGTCATAATACATGAGGGTAACACTGGTTTACTGATATATAAACTGTTGCAGTCGCTTCTCACTGATCCAAATCCTGCAAGTCCAGCAAACAACGAGGCCGCTCACATGTATCAGCATGACATACAAGCTTACAACAAGTTCGTGAACATATTATTTGGGCTTTTCTTTATTTTTTTTCTTTTTCTGAACGATTTTCTTTCTATTTCTATCTACTTAATCTGACTCTTCTCCTTGGCAATTTGTAGGAGGGTACGCCGCTGTGCTCGTCATTCCATTGATTCGTTGTAGTATCTGTCTGGAATTTGTCTCTATTTTTCTCTTGACTTTTGGAGAAAGCTTTTTATTGTGTGTATCATGCTCTACTTGTTGAATGTAATCAATCATATAGATTTTCTTTTCCTTCTCATGTATCATTCAAACGAAGTTATGTCAATATTTACACACGTCAAATCGTGTTTTAATTTCTCTTGGTGGATATCGAAGAGTTCCAAGTGTTAATAATGCAATTCATAGACAATGTTGTTTCAGGTATGGAGTCAGCTTCCTAACAAGATCAAGATTTACTCACTCCCTCAATGATGTACCTGCTGCCTTGAAGAAGGCACACATGTGCATTGTGCGAAAGACCTAATAAGTTTTCCTTTTTGGTAAATAGAAGTTGAAACTTCTAAGAAAACAATCAAACAGAGTATCTGAAGAAAACCAAGCAAGCAACTAACAGAAACAGAGGCTCATTATTATGTAAATCTCATGCTTTGTAATGGCACGGCCAACAATGAGTTCATGAAAAATATTCTGTATGAAGAACTGAAGGATTGGAGAGACTTGCCCTTTGATAAAAAAGAAACTAATAAAGGTCAAAATAACATGACATGTCAAATATTTGCAAGAGAACATTGGATTGTATCCATTGTTGTAAAGAAGATTCAGATCCTCCCTTTTCCCTGGTTGTGAAATTTATCCATCCTATCTTGAGTGAAGGCCTCACGGTAGTTGTGCAAGCATTGGAATTTGGAATCTAGGTTTTACTTTGCTTATACATTGTAGCATCACAATATTTCGAACTCTTTTACTTGCAATGTGCCAATATGAAGACACTGTTAGAAAATATACAATGTTAATTTGGTTCTCATAGCGATATGAAAATATTATGAGTAATGCTAGGGTCACCATATTTTCATACGATTTATAAATTTCCTTGTCCATGACGTGTATTAGGCCTGTCAATCTCTAGCCTACCTATCTCTATGGAAGATTGGGTTAGCTAAGCTAGAGCTCTCGTATGAGTTATGGCATGCAAGTACACGCACAGCTAATATTGGTCATTTATGATGTAGAATTCCGATCAAAAGAAAGAAGCTTAAGCCAAACCATTCAAATTTGACCCCATAACCATAAGGTTGTTATCCCATAATTAATTAATATGCAAGGATTAAGGTATAGATAGCTGGTGTTCTTATCCAACCGTACATGAAAATATCAAAACACAGATTAAGCTGCTGCAGCCTCACATCAGAACAAATGGCTGGTATCTTTCTTATCTATGAGCATGTGGGGTTGTCTCTGCACTTCAGAAAAGTGAAACATGTAATGAACTAGGGTCGGCCACCATGAATATATGTGATACGTACAGTGTACTCAGATTTGAACAATCTGTGTTTTTTCTTTCTTTTTCGTGGAGTTATTTTGTAGCTTCCATTGCTCAAATTCAATACCCCACATGATGTTAGAATCAATGCCCCAGCGAACTACATGATAGGTATTGATCTTACTGTACCAAGTGGGTGCAATGCAACAAGCAAGTACAACATTATTGGTTATATTAGGGTCCGTTGGATAACCATTTCAATTTTAGTTTAGGGTTTAGGCAAACAGAGTGAGAATGGGAGTGAAGATGAGATTGAGAGAGAGGATAAGAAGGGAGGATGAGAGTGAGGAGTAACAAAAGTAAAAACAAAAACAAAAATTGAATTGTTGTGATGAGATGAAATTGTTTTCACTTTTGTTACTCTTCCCTCCCATCCTCACCTCTCATCTTCCCTCTCAATCCTGTCTTCACTCTCATTCTCACTTCCATTCTCCCCTCTTTTTCCTCTATGCTCTAGCACAAAAACTAAGATTGAAATGGTTATCAAACGGGCTTATGGGTTTGCTCTTCTATGCAATTCCTTAGTTGTCATTCTAATATGATAGGTTTACATAAGTACGCAACTCTAACATGTTATGTAACGTGCTTTTGTTTGATAACATAAATATGACAAGAGAACATTATCTAGTACTACTGCACATGTATGTGTATTGGCGCTAATCAATTATTAAGTTAGTACAACACTAACAACTCGTTAGAACCCACTTCAAATAATCCCATGATTCAATCCCTTAAAAAAAATAGTTTTCCTTTTCTGTAAAGCCAAATACAAAAACATTTACATTATCAATAAATTATAAACAAATTGGAAAGCTTTTAAGGTACAATGAAATTGAAGAAAATAAAATAATAGGTAAGTAAAAGCAAAATAAATAATAAGTAATAAGGTGAGTTTGGTACGGTGAAGCATGTCAAAAGCGCTGTCCTAAAGCCTTTATAGCCTCCTTACGTGTAGGTACTGACGGTCTACAAGACTCCAAAATATGACCTCTTGTACACAAACTCAAGATCTGCTATGAGCACGTTCATAAACGGATATAGGTATCCAAGTCGCAGAACCATTGCCAAAATAATAATATAAAGTAGAGAAGTATAAAAGGAGAGAATTAGTTTGTGGTTGTGTGATATTCTGATGGTGTATTGTAGTTGTTTCAAATGTGAAGAAGGAGTGACTTTTTTTAGGCATCCAAGAATACGTAACCTTCACCAACCAGAAAATTAAGGCATTCAAGATAGAAATAAAACTGAATATTAAATACAGCGGCGAAGCCAGAAATTCTATCAAGGAGGGTCAACTTTAAATAGCTTTAAAATTACAATGAATTTAGTTTTTATAGGAAAATATATATATAAGAATTCATTATAATGATTAAATTTCAATATCTCAAATTTAATATCTTAGTAAGTATAACCCAAATTCTAGCAACCTAAAAATAATGAAAGAGTATTATAAGTTGATTTTAGATAGAATGAGAAAATCAAATAAAATCCATGACACAAACATATAAATGACATATGAAGACATGAAAACAAATATAAATCATATTCATATTCATTGTAGACAATTTACATTTGTAAGAAGGGTCAATATAGTAAATATAGCTATAAAACATCTTGGATAACAAAGATAAATATAATATTTTCAAAATGTTGAGAAGGGTCAAGTGACCCTTGTGGGCCTTAATTGGCTTCACCAATGATTAAATATTTTAAACCCCCACAATAAATAAATAAAACAGCCAAAATAATTAAATAAATAAAATGGTTAATTTTTTTAAACCTTTTTAAAATTCCAACAATCCCCCACAAGGTTTTTAAAATTTTACCATGACATAAAAAAACAGTGAAAATATATATTTATATATGAGCAATATAATACTATGCAATAGGTGTAGGTGCCTTCAGGGCTTGAACCTTCACTTAGTGATGATAGTCTCCATTTGAGGAACTTGAGTGTACAAGGTATTGAACTCAGCACCTTTGACCAAACTTCAACATATCCACACATAGTATTGGTTGAGACTTGGATGCGGAGTAGCACTATTTATGGTCATGCGTTAATCTTGATTCTCATGAGAGTTACTAGAGAATAGCCCAATTCTCACAATTGCGGCCTCACAACATCTCTCACTTAGGTGAGTTCTCCAAGAGTACATGTGACCTGCACCCTGCGGGAGTTTGCCCGCCTCAAAACTCATTCAGGGATAAATCTCTTCCTAACGTCACATAAAATATCACTTTTGCCTTAGGAATGAGCAGCAGAATATCTCAAGGATATCTCCATAGTTTTATGAGTGCTATATGAGTCACGCAGTATAGATTGTTTCTACTACATTGAACTTCCTTCATGGGATCGCAATCATAGAAGTTGGGTTACCTCCCTAGGTGACTCGCTTACATGGGCTTAAGCACATCCCTCTCAACATTTTGCATTAATAGCCTCCTTCATGAGGCATGCATATATAATGTAGGTCATGTCTTTGTTCTCCATTTTTTGTGCGCTTTAAAACTGCATGTTATTAAAATATTTCCTACACACTCTTACACACAAATAATTAGTGGATTCACCTCAGTATAATTGGAAATTATATACACATTGGTATACATTAAAATATAACGAAAATCCCACTATATATAAATTCATATAATTTGAATACCTCTCAAATATTGGTACTCAAATATGGGTCTTTGAAACTTTGAGTGCACCTGATGAAGCTATGAACAAACTATGCAATGCTTAATTGATTAAATAAATTTAATTATAAATACTAAGTATTTCAGGATACTCTTACTCCCTTTCTGTGCACTCCAAGTGGTTGAAATAATGTATCCAAGTTGAAATTGTATCTTGTCAATTCTCAATATGAACCTATATGGAAAGTTAAAAAATCATCATATAATAATCCAAAAATTGCAATAGAAAAGAAAAAAGGGAGGTTTGTGATGATTTTAAAATCTTTTATACTAGGTAATCTAGTATCCTTGTGCATGAAGATAATCAATTCGGTTGTTGTGGTCGGACTCTAGAATCTCTTCCCTTATTCCACTCCGTTCCGAAGAGTAACTAGGACCAATTCAGTCACGTTTTCATTCATTTGGAATCTGGGCTCTTCTACTTCATTTTTATTTACTTATTTTTTTATTATTTTTCCCTCTCTTTTCGTTTTTTATTTCTTTTTTTTATTTCCCTTCCATCATTCCTTAAGTCCCGACTAAGTTAGGTATTAGTATGGGTGTATCAATTATATAACAATATTTTATATTTTTATCGAAATTGTACCATACTTCAAAAAATACTTTATAAATTTTTAAATTAATATATATTATATTTTGATCGATCTTACCAAAATCATCATTAGTTGCACACAATTTCATATCAAAATTGAAGATAAATTAGTCTCATAATAAACTTTCATAATGAAACAAATTTCACACAAACACAGTATGTTTGCCAATGAAATATAAAAATTATTGTGTTACTAAATAAATATAATGAATCTTTCACATGAGAGCATAAAGAAATTGAAAACACACTCAACATTGTGGGAAAGAGAAGTGAGAAAGAAATTGCGTGATTTCTCCATGTCACCAATTAACAAGAACAGTTTATACAATTTAATTATTATTATTTTGAAGGAAAGGAGTTTAATTAAATGATTGTTAGTTACCTCCAAAAAGCCTACGACAGTAAAGAAATGCAATTAGACTACATAAATGGGTATAATATTTTTCAATATAAAACAAAAAACTACTCACACATAAAGTTACAGCATTAAAGTTCCCTTTGAAAAAAAAAAAAATTAACTCCCACAAAAGAGGTCCACATGGT